GGAAATAAAAGAGGAGCAAAAGGGGAGTGGAGTTTGCAGGAGGCAATTTGTTCATTCCTGCATTCTTGCCAAATATTGTGGGGTCTGAAAGATATCGGCCTGGCCATTCTCCAAGCCTGATAAAGGTGAACTATCTTGAAAGACTGTGGGAGAGGAAAGACTTTGCTGGAGAGGAATTCACTGTAAATTAAATAAAAGGGGTTTATCGGGACGAGGACTCGGCTTTGTGATACTGGGGAAGCCTAGGTCAGAACAATTAGTACATACTATTCCATTTACTAAAACCTTTGGTTTGAAAAATGTCGCATACACTTGTGCTAAATATTCACACATCCACAGAGTAACATACAAGGTCACCCTAGTTGCTTTTCATCTCCAGAATGCTTACCTAGAATATCTTCATAGACGTTTTCCTCTGATAAAGTGCGGGTTAGGGCCATCTTGCTTTGAGCGTACCAATCCACTCGGCCATTCTCAGAAGAGGACTGCAACAAATCTTCAAATTCATAGGACTTCCTAGGGCATTTATTTAGAAAGAGCAGAAGAGGCAGTGGGGGAAAAAAGTAGATATCTCAAAGGAATACCATAAAGCAAATCACTCAAAGTAATACTGGAGAGAGAAAAACGTGTATTTTTATAGCTTTATATCACAATAAGCAACCCCCAAAGGGACGCAGTGGCTCAGTGGCTAAGACGCTGAGCTTGTCGATCAGAAGATCGGCAGTTCAGCAGTTCGAATCCCTAGCACCACATATCGGCGTGAGCTCCCGTCACTGGTCCCAGCTTCTGCTAACCTAGCAGTTCGAAAGCATGTAAAAATGCAAGGTGGGAAGGGAATAGCATTCTCTGAGCCTTCGGCATTTAGTCATACCAGCCACATGACCAAGGAGACGTCTTCAGACAGCTCTTCGACTTAAAAATGGAGATGAGCACTGCCCCCTAGAGCCGGAAACGACTAGCAAGCATGTACGGGGAAACCTTTACCTTTATCTTTAAGCAACCCTCAAAAAGTTTTGCTTCAGAACTTAAATCTCCTAGGCTATGGCTTTCCTTTCTCCAATATGTCAAGAGATTCTTTGTCTCTGGCTATCTGAAAATTTCTGGTTGCTTCTGAGACTTCCCCTTTCCCCCCTTCTCCCCTGTTCTTTAGCCTTGGATCAATTCCTAGACTATCTGCATGAATCCACCTTTCATTCTTTCCAAATCCCTCTTCAAAATCTGTTCATGAAGTTTTCGATTCATTCTGTTAGTCCCACTAGCATGGTATAAGTAAACTTAAATAGAAGTATATCCCCATTTTATGTAGCAGAATACACAAAAGGTTATATTGCTCATTAAAAAGAACTAAGATAAACAGATATAATCAGTATATACAGTAATACCTGTGATCTGCGTTAGCCTTAAGCTTCCCGTTCCTCAACCTCCTACTAATGGCTGAGGGGGGAGGTGAGGAAGGCAGAGGAGGGGGTGGAATAGAAGGAAGAGGGGGGAGGAGCCTCTTATTCCGAGCTGGCGGAATCCATCCCTCTTCACCTTCATGTTTGAAAGTCCGTCGAGGCTTAGGAAGCGGATTGATAAAAGGTTTCTTCTCTGGCAAGCCAGGCTCCGTGTACACATTTTCTTCATTGCGAGATCTGCATTTCACACAAGATGCTTTCACCTCTTCCAAAGTCCCGAAGATTGGCTCTCTGGCTTCAGTGTCCAAGCCAAGGAGCCACTTACTTACTTCTATGCGGTTGGTACTTTCCTGGCCTTCAGGTGGCTCCTGATCTTCTCCCGTCTTCTCTTGCAGACAATGTGGAGAATAGTAAGTACCTGGTAGCTGGGGTTGGGCTTCAGCTGAGCCACACTTCAAGGCCTGCTCCAGCTTCTTGACCTGACTCAAGACAGATATGTTCTCCTTCTGGACTTCCTTCTTACTGTCCTTCAACTCAGTACATTTACCCACATTGAAATGACATTCTTCCTCCCTGGATTTCACATCAGCTTTCCTTACAACATGCTGCCCGGCGTTTTTAAAAGTTCCAACATGCCTGTCATCCTCCTTGCTTGGCCCCTTGCAACTCGGGAGCCTCTTATTATCCACATCTCTCATTGCAACACTATGCCTAGCCATCTTCTCCATTACACCCAAAACTGGACTGGGTTCCTCTTTAACACTTTGGTCCTCCTCCTTCCACAGGGACACCTGAGCTGGAATTTCCTTTTTTCCTTCCCATTCTGAAATCTTGTCCTTGATACTTAAGGGCTTGTTTTTCATGCTGACTTTCCCAACGGACCGAAGATTTGGACAGCCACCCATTTGCTTCCTTAGAATCCTGCTGCTTTCCCGCACGTTGAGATCAACTGAGGGATCTCCGATGATCATCTTGGGACTTAGCATATTCTGCTGAAAACAGTCCAGCCTTGGATCCAGCATCAATTTCTCTACAGTTTTCAATGGGCTCTCTGCCCTGGAATCTAGTTCTGCTTTCAGCAGGAGCTTGGCTGGGAAGGCAACACTCTTCGACCAATTATGCTTTGAAAGCCCACCCCAAAATGTTGTTTTTGCAGCTGGATTATTTAGACTTGCAAACCTGATCCTAGGCAAAAAAGGGCAAGGGTCAGAAGAAATGTACAGGTTGCCATTCGTCATTCAGTACAATGTCATGAGCTGGATTTAATATTTAGCTGAATATTAAATGTATGACACTTTAACTTAAAAGATACAGGAGTGTAGAATTATTAGTTTTTCCTGCAATTTTTTTTTACTGTCTTCCCACTAATTTAAATTTATTTGCAAAGAGGAGTGCTTTTCTATCTTTTCAGCAAAACATTAACATCTAGCACACTTCATTTATTTACAAAACACCTTAAAGCAAAACACATTTACTCTTGCATAAATCCATTTGTTTAAGCACACCAAAGCTCACGCCAAAAATAAATACATTTGTCAACATAAAAGTATTTGGTATTTTCCCCCTTCCCTATATTAGCCGATTAACTTGAGGGCATCTGGAAACTATTCAAAAACCCCTCCTTTCTGAAAAGCCTAGATAAGATCTTAGTTTTGAGGTCCTAGATTGGTTATCTATATTAAGAAAATATTTGTATGGACACTACTCATGCCTTTACACATAAAAACTAGAGCACACAGACTTCAAATGTATGTTTAAGCTAGACTGAAAACCTTTCTACTTAACAGTTTATTATCTGAGGCTAAACTAATGATATGTAGCTCCAGAGATGAATACAGTGCTGAGATTTTCTTAAAATCTTATCCTCAAGTTAATATATTGAAAGGAGGGCATATTAAACAGAGGGATTTTAAATGGCAATTTATTACTGTGTTTCCCCAAAAATAAGACAGGGTCTTATTTTCTTTTAACCCCTGAAATAAGCACTTGGCCATATTTTCGGGGAGGTCTTATTATTTTGAGGTGCAGGAGACGGTGAACATGGCTGATGCTGTGTTGCAATATTTTTGGGGAGAGCTTATTTTCAGGGGAAGGCTTATTTTAGCACCTGCACTCAAAAGCCCCATTGGACTTATTATCTGGGGGAGGTCTTATTCTGGGGGAAACAGAGTACTTATTATTACAGTTTTAAGAGTTATGTCCTATTTATAACATACAAAATTATATGCAAAATGATTATTTTCACAGCTTAGAATATATAAGGGGTTTGTTTCATTCCTAAATATAAACAATAAAAGCTGCTGTCAGAGTAACAGAAAAAGATCAATTTAGCACAGTAGTTAAAACATATTAATATAACAAAAGGCCTGAGACGGACATGTGTTTGTGTAGTACTGAAATATGAAGGTTTGTATTTCTACCAAAGCTTTCAAAATCCAGATCCGGTTCTTGGTTCAAAAAAAAAAAAAAGAATTTATGAATAAGTTTGACTGTCTCTTTTAAATTTTCCCTCTTCTCCCCTATTATATGTCCTGGATAAGCTTCTAAAGCCATGATTAATGACAGTAAAGCAGAAATAAATATGGGGATTAGATATCTCCTGCCCCCATGCAAAACAATAAAATAAATCCCCCACTAGCGCCTTAGTGAAAGTGAGGTCAACAGAATGCACTTGTAAATTGCAGGAACCTATTCCATTATCTGTGCATGTTTCTGGAAAAGTTTAAAATTTGGCTAAGTATTTTTGAATAAAAAAAGAAGTTGGGGGAGGAAGTAAGAAGCCCTTGACTTAGAACCACAATTGAGCTCGAAACTTTGGTTGTAAGTCATGGTAGTCATTAAGGGGCTCATGTGTCCTGACTTTATGACTTTATTTTTACAATGGTTGTAACATGAATCCCCGCAGCCGTTAAGCAAACCATGATAGTTAAAGGGAATCCATTTTCTCAAATGGTCACTTTATGCCAGCAAAAAAAACAACATCATCATAAGATGCTGTCATGTGACCATGAGGTAACAAATGTTTCCACATGTGAGCCAATTGTCAAGCACCCAAAATATGACTACATTACCTCAGGATATGTGTTGTGTCAGTCATAGCTTCAAAGAAAGGTTGTAACTAACTATTAGGGAGTCTGTCGTAACTTCAAATAGTTGTAAGTGACTTGGCATTAAACAAGGACTGCCTAAATACCTGCCTACCCTTCCCTCATTTGGAAATCAGCACAAACAGAATATTAAGAATACTCACCTCTCAATGTTTTTGCAAATAATGATTTCGGGCTTGCTCTCCACACTGGGGACAGCGCTCCCCGTCATCGTGTTAGCAGCTGGCATGGCTTCAGGCCACCTAGGAAGAAACACATAAAACAACTCATACATAAAAAGCTGAGTTCTTCGTCCCGTGATTTCCAGTAGATATTTTTTTTTACACTTCTATACCCAGTTTCTGTGAAAATAAGACCTCCCCAGATTATAAATCCAATCGGGCTTTTGAGCGCATGCACTAAAATAAGCCCTCCCCCAAAATATTGCAACACAGCAGCAGCCATGAGGTGACCACGCTCGCCACCTTCTGTACCTCAAATATAATAAGATCTCCCCCAAAATAAGGCCAGGTGCTTATTTCAGGGGTGTGTGTCAAAAGAAAATAAGACCCTGCCTTAATTTTGGAAAACACAGTATTTTGAATAAAATTGTGATTTATTCAATAAAATAGGGTGAAAATAAGATTCATAAATTCATACTATGGGTTCATCCTTCTCCAAAATGCAGCTTTTGAGATGCTACAATTATTTAGTAGCTGTTTATGTTGTTTTCTATGAAAACTCCCCAACTTGATTTGTTCCGGGTGGTCCACTGTTTTATTCCTATAATCCTTAGCACAATCATATCTGGGGCCCACAGACTGGAAAAAGAGCTACGTTAATTAAAAGCCAGGGATAGTGATTAGGCTCAGAAGAAATGTAAGAAACAAATTTGTTAACTGTCCTGTTACCCATGGAGAAATTGCTTTTAGGAAACAGAATGCCATTTAAAACACTGATGATAAAACAGAAATCAACCATTGATGAGGATTATGTAATCTCTGAGGTTTTTATTCCAGCCTCCTTTCTCCCCATTGCTTTTGAATCCTATTCCCCTTCTGGGGGGCATAGGAAAGTTTGCTGCCAACGCTGACATAAAATGCTCCCATTTCAATTATAGTTGTAAAACTAAACTAGGTTAATGAGTTCAGTCAGATTTTTCAGATTCTGAAACTAAACAGATTCTCAGCCTGCACTTTGGGAATTAACCGAAGAAGGTACTTTGAGAAAAGGGGCACTTGAAGAGATATTGGTGCAGGCTGGCTCAGTTGGCAGAGACTATGTCAGTGATGGCTAAACTTTTTCTAAAGGTGTGCCAAAATTATGTGTGCATGCGCTATTGCACACGTGCCCACCCACCTATGCATGTGTGCACAATTCCCCGCACATGTGCATGACCACCCATACAGGGTGGGGAGTTTTTGCCTCCCCAGGCTCCAGGGGCTTTCCCGAAACCTGGGGAAGGCGAAAAATGGCCCAACCATAAGTTAGGGAACAAACTTCCAGGGTCGCCCCATGGGCCTTGAGTTTGACACCCCTGCTCTAGGTCAGTGATGGCTAACCTTTTCAGAGTAAGTGCACGTGTGAATGTGTGTGTGCGCAGCCCCCGTGCATGCGCCCATCAGCCACGCATGAACACCTCCCCATGCCCCACATTCCTGTGCATGCATGCACACCTTCCACACATGCCCACCCACATGCATGTGCGCATGATCCCCCCACATGTGCCCTGGCATGCGCCCCACTCCCACGCATGTACAACAGAGACCAGACAACCAGCTGGCCAGCGAGAGGCGTGCCTGCTGAACTAGGGTGACAGATTGTGTGCGCACAGAGAGGATGCTTTGTGCCACCTGTGGCACATGTGCCATAGGTTCATCATCACAGCTCTAGGTTATAGTCAAAGCTATCTGGGCATATACAAAGGCCCGGATTACCTACAGTATGTTGTCTCCCCATAATTACATAGGCGGTAGTTGTCCTGTAAGCCAAAGATCCAACTGCACTCAAGAATTCCTTCTACAAATGCTTGGAAGCGATGACTGCATCTTGCCAGAATTTCCTCTTTGCAATTTGATGCTTAGAGCTCCCATTAAAAGTACAAGTAGTCCTCGCTTACTGATGGTAATTGGGACCAAAAGCTTTGTTGCTAAGCAATGTAATCATAAGGCATGACGACAGTTCTAGTAGTCCCAGTTGCCATTATTAGATGAATTCTGTGTGGTTGCAGCATCCCACAGTAATATGATCCCCATTTGCAACCTCCTGGTGGCTTTCCCATTAACTTTGTGAGAGGAAGCAGGGAAAGTTGCAAATAGTGATCACCTGGCTGCAGGATGTTGTGATGTTATAATTGCAAACCAATCACCCATCACCTGAATCACAAACACACAGGGAGGCTGAACATATGAGGACCCTTTGGTTAGTGATGTCATAACATTCAGTTGCTGAATGAATCGGTGTGAAAATCTATCTGGATTTGTTAGAAGGAAAATAAATGTTAAAAATACAACCGTTCCAGCCTCAATTGTGACATAGAGGCAATTTCAAGGCAGCCATGTTCTTGTCTGTTTGTCCCAGATTGTCTATGCAGAGAGTTGGGCCCTCCCTCCTTTTTATGTGAAAAGATCAGATTGCATCTATTCACTAACATAATAAATGACATCATATTCATCAGTGCAAGATGTATCTTTCTGGTGTTTTTCTATTTTCCTGGCTAAAGAGAATGGCTTCTTTCCAGGCATCCTTTGGGGGGGGGGAATGCCAGCGAAGCTATTATAGACACATTGGATTAGAATAATAATTAGGATATAATAGAGCTGGAGGTTTTCTAGTCCAGTCCCCTGCTCAAGCAGGAGACCCTATAACATTTCAAACAAGTGACTGTCCAGTTTCTTCTTAAAAACCTCCAGTGACGAAGCTCCCACGATTTCTGAAGGCAAAGCTGTCCCTCTGGTTAATTGTCCTCACTGTTAGGAAGCTTCTCATTAGTTCCAGGTTGCTTCTCTCTTTGATCAGTTTCCAACTATTATTGTTTGTCCTGCCCTCTAGTTCTTTGGAGAATAATTTGACCCCCTCCTCTTTGCGGCAGCCCTTTAAATACTGAAATACTGCAATCATGCCACCCCTAATTATTCTTTTCTTTAGACTAGCTAGACCCACAATCTGCAGCTGTTCTTCACATTGCTTAGCACAGAAAGAGGTGAGAAAGTGGGAAAGAACTTCAAGATTGCCTTGTCTTCAGGCTGCTTACTGTAAGCAGGAAGCAGATCTTTCAGATTTTGAAGACTTTATAATAATAGAGGAATGATAATTGTACCAACCTTTCCACACCCATTTATACCTATTTTTGTCTCCATGAAGGGCTGAAGAGATGTTTTTGTGTGTCAATCCAAATGTCCAATGAGACAGAGAGCCTAGGAAACTGCATCTTTGCAGGACCTTGAGAGAATTTCATCTCACTCATGGTTATTAGAAGGATCGGTTACTCTTCAGATAAGTAATTGGAGAGAACCTGGGGGAGTTAATTTAGCTCAAACAAACCCAGACCTTCTTGAAGCTAAAACTAATCTCTCAAGGTTAGATGACTGCCTCAGATAACTTGGTTTTGAAGTCCTGCTTTACCCCGCAGCCCTAAAACCGAGCTAAGCATGTTGTATGAATCAATAGGGCCGTAATGTAATAACAGTCATGATTTGCTACTCTGAAGAGGCTACATATGTCTTCCTATTTTGTCAGTGTTTGGAGAGCTGAACTTGGCAAGCAAGCCTGTTAAAATACCATAGGTTGAAGGAATACTTTCTGTCCAAGCAACAATACAATTCATAGCACAGCATCTTTCACAGAGCCAAACGTTGCTCAAAGGGTAATTTAATGTTTGTGGATTTTCTGCCCAATTGCTGAAAGTGTGTCATGAATGTCTTTTAGCCATTGAATGATGGACACTCTGTTGTGTTGATTGGGAGAAAACACAGCACTAACTTCTTTCCAAATCTCCAATAGCACAAGAGGGAGATTGACAGACTCCAGAGAATACTTTAAAAGACCTACTGTATTTTTCAGACTATAAGACAGACTTTAGCTTTAAAGGAGGAAAACAAGGAAGAAAATCTGCTTCTGCCTCCGCCACCCATTTGCGCCTGCCGTGGCCCATTCGCCACCACTGCAGCCCACTCACTACGGCCGCATTTGCCACCGTGGCCTGTTCGCCAACGCCGTTCACTGCCTCTGCAGCCTGTTCGCCGATTGCCATGAACGGATAGCAACGGCGGCAATAGGCGGTGGCAATCAACGCCACCTAGAACAGCTGATCAGCGCCACACAAACTCCCCTCCCCCCGCCATAATATTTGCTCTATAAGACACACAGACATTTGTTAGGAATATAATCTAACGGTTGGGTTTTGCAACTGCTAGCAAACTTTGATACTGAACTGATTATATGATACTGGACTATGTTATTTGGATTATCCCTTAACTGAAAGACATTGATGACTGATTGAATTATCCGTGTATGACTTGGACTGTTTGATGGACTCTGATACCTCTATTTCCACGAAAGTAAAAGCCTATATTTAAACAGTGTCTCTTTATGCTGGTTTGTTTGTTCTCCAACACAAGTATCACAAAGCTTCACTGAACGTACTCGCTCTCCCAACAACATTTTCACACACTTGGGGGGGGGGAGTGCATCTTCTAGTCTGAAAAATATGGTAATCGAATCACAGCTGGAAAATCTTTCAATAGCTATCGCAACCCCAAGAAATAGCAATCCCACTCTTGCTTCAAAATTTCTCAACAAAAGAAACAAAACTATTTCCCAGGAGAGTCTGTTGCTGCATCTAACAATTCAAAATAGCCTTCTCCAATTCAGTGCTGCTCAGATGTGTTGGCATTACAATTCCTATTACTCTCCACAGCCAGGGTACCAAGAAATCACACAAGTGGATTCCCAACATATTTTATAGGGCATCATATCTTGAACCTTGTATTTGCAGAAAACAATTCAGCATTATTCTTATTGTCAAATATTTTAATAAATCAATAAACCTAATAAATTTTTCTCAATGACCTGCAGAAGAGCAAATATCTGCTCTGCCATCCATCCGTCAGCATTTCCAGAACTTTATACATTGGCACCTCTTCCACCCATTCAATCAGAATTTCAGCAGTTTCCCAGGTATACTTAGCAAAGCGAGTCACTTGTAATACTTGCATTCACACTTGCTACCTTTCCTTTTGGATAGGAGAATAATAACAACATT